CCCAGCTATATCAGAGGTACAGATTTTCAGGAGGAGAGCAACCCAAGTGTGAAGCATGTGCTTTACATACAGCATTGAAATAAGCTAAGAAGGATTTTAACTTAGTCCTCAATTTTCTCAAAAGATATTTCTATTAAAAAAAAAGCTTCCAAGTTTCCAGGCATTAAAAGCAAAACTTTTACCCTCTAAAACCAGCAGACAGAATAACTATGGAGAAGCACCAGCCCCTCAACTTTACTTCCTGTAACACAACATAAATGCATCTCTCCTGATTCCCAGCACAGACCATATGTACGCGTAAACAGAGCCATGAAAGAGCTGTGCTCTGACTGTTTTCCTGAGTTTTCCATAATGATCTACAGTGAAATCCTGGCATTATTCAAGTCAGGACTATACTGTTTGCTTTATTTTGCTATTCTTAACACAGGCATAGTTATTTCATACTCTTGGGAATATTTTGCTTGATGACCTTTATAAAAAAAGAACTAAGCTGTGCAGCTGTTTAACTGAGTGTTTGCATTCCTACTTTTTTCACTATTTTAGAATATAAGAATAGTGCATGAGGCCTTAGTGTGAAAGCAGAAAAAAAAAAAAAAACAGAGAAGCCAGTAATTCTTCCAAAAGCGTGTGTTTTCTACAACTGTAAAAAGAAAAAACTTGTAACTCTCAAACCTGTTTCACAAACATACACACCTTCAAAAATATTCCACAGTTTATAGAGGTAATTAATTATGTTTTGCAAGAGATGTTTCTTTCTAAACTACTTACCTTTTTTGCTGTTAAACCAGTACCTACTGAAACTTTGCAAGAGGGGGAGATGATGGTAATTAGTGCATTCAAGTAACTACTCTTCTGTGTTTGGGAAAAAGAACTATGGAGACCTGTGAAGAATGTACAGGCTTTCTATTGAAAGAGTACACCCCATAAATATTTATAACAGTCTTTGGCAATATGCTAATCCAAGGCAAGTAATTTTCCCTCTCTCAGAAAGAATCATGAAAAAACAATTAAGGTGATTTAATTACTGCCATGCACAGACAGCAGATTTTGAACTCTTGACAGATGAACATTCATCACAGTGCCATGTTATCCTAACCCCATAACACATGACTCTGAACAGAATGGACAATTAAACCTAGATCATTTCCCTTACCTTCCTGCAGTACTTTGGGCTAGATCCAAATCCCAGCAAAGCCAATGGGAGCAGAAGCTAGACCTTCCAAGTACTGACTGAAAGCTCCAATTTTAAATAAAACAGAAGTAGTTTTCATGCAAGCTTACAGATCTTCATGGCACCAAAGTAAATTTAGCTTTACAGCCCTTTCCTGAATCATTTAAATCTGAATTTAAAAGAAAGTGTACATGGCAAAAAATTGCTTAAGGAAGATTTACCTTTTATGTCCTTCACAGTTACCCCTACAGAGTTTCAACTATATTAAACTTTCTTCATTTATATACACCTATAAAACCATTTGGCAGCTATTCATACCCTAAGTCCTTAATCCGTGGTGGGGGAACAGAAATCTGCATAAAATGAAAATCTTTGGAGTTGGAGTTTTTCCAAAAGTGCAATAAATCTTAAATTTCTTATTTAGGTTAGGGGAGGGAGCGTGTTTATGAGAACATCTTCCAAAAGTTATGCTTTGAATCTTTATGAAATACATTAACAGTAATGCAATCAAACAGAGAGTGCCTCACTTAACATTTCACTCTACTGGCCTTGAGATTTCTATGGAATTAAAATAACTTCATTTGATAATATTCCTTTGAGAATAATGTTGCAATTATGCCATGTGTCTCAACCTATGGTCAGGAGCAGGAGCCCTGGGATTCGCTGATGTGGGCTTGCAAGCCTTTGGTACAAGCATGGTCCAGTTGGATTTTTACAAGTGCTGCCCAGTGTAATCTTTGATAAAGCCTTGCTTTTCCATAGCCCTCAGGAACCTCATCTAGGAAAATACAGACAACTGTGAGTAGGCTGTTTTTGAACTCTTCTTTGGAAATCTATGCTTCTGTAAAATCCTAAGAGCACAGAAAAGTACTGTCTATCAAAAAGTGAGTATGTCTGACTCCCATCTAGAGGTTTTCTCCTTCCTTTCACAAAGAGTAATTCTCAATAGCAAATAAAAGCATTTCACCAGGTATCAAAGCACAAAAACGTGCTTTAATTAACACAATTGGCAGGATTTTCAATTGGCACTGATTTTCTGAAGCACTCAGACGATTTTACTGCCTAGCCTCAGCAAGTACTTTCTTGCATTTTGAATTTCAGGTCACACATCTGAAAAGCACACAGAAATGTCACATGTTCTGGATGTCAATGTTTACAGTGGACCAGAGAACATTTCCAGGCCTCTATCACTAGGCACAGCTAGCCAGGATTCTTCATGGTACTGCCTCTGCCCAGACACAGCCATCAGAATATGGCTGCTCCTTTAAATTCTGTTGAGGAGAGATCTCTCCCCTCCTTTTTCTGGCGGTGTTTCCTTCTTCTCTGAGGCAACTAATAAACAAAGCACAGAATAAGGAAAGGGCTACAGAAATCCCAATTATTATATTGTATTTAAATGAAGGATCAATCTTGACACTACACTAAGAGCACATTATTTCATTGATGCAGCAATCTGAAGAAAGGCTAATTCATACCAGGTTATCCCATGTAACATCCTGTAATCCTGTAATGCATGACAGAGTTAAAACAAACTTGTGTAGGGGAACAGCAGAGTTCACTATTCTCCCTTAAAGCCTTTTTTGGCGAGAGTTCACATGTAACCTGAAGGACAACAGTACAAACTTCTGTTTGCCTGCACAGAGCTCTCCCTCTGTGCGTTGTCAAAGCAACTGATACAGTGTAACAGCTGAATGGTTTCCCAAGGAATTAAACACCTCCTTGTCTCTGGCTGTATTCTCACACTGTGCTGTACGTGCAGGCTGCGTTTCAGCAGCAGTGTGCATGTGAGCAGAACTGCAGCACCTTTAGTCTGAAGCTCCCTCTGCTTCCCGTCTTTCCCCCAACAGACTCTCTGCTTTTAGCTCTGGGTCTGTTCCAGTCAGCTCAAAAGGCAGGTTAGCTGTAGGCTTGAAAATATTCTCAACTATATGGGGAATCTTATCAAGAAGCTATTCTTTCTAATGTTGTCAGGATAGCCTTTAAAATGTTTTACATCTTCAGAGGAAATGAAAATCTCTCTGAAAAATCTCTCACTGTGCTCTGTTTCAAAATAGGAAAATGACATTCCATGGTCTTACTGAAAACCATACATCCATGTCAGGGCATTTTCTGCATTCTGGCAATTGTTCTTCATTAACCAGAAATAACCCATATTTTGAGATACTGTATCAAAAGAAAACAAGAAGAATCAAAGTTGGAGAAGAGCCCCAACAAAACTTGACCATAACCTACCTACTTTTTACCCATACTAGTAAAACTTCCTCACGCCACAGCTCTGCTCAAGATGCCTGTCACAGACTTAAAGGGTGATTAGCCTCATGCTCTGGCAGGACAGCAGTCATTTTCAGCTGCAGTCCTAAACACTGCTTACAGACAGGATCATCCCTGGTCAGGACACACATTCCACAGGTTGCAAAACTGTGAAGCCTGCTGTTACATTTTGCTAAACAGAAAAAAAAAAAAAAAGGTGAAGAAAGTAAGTGTAATGGTGTGAGCTTTATGGCTTTTTTTAAAACTTTTTTTTTATTCTTACAAACCCATTTGCATTGGTAGTTTTTGCTTAATTTCAAGAGTTGGGACACCAGTAGTAGTCAACCTCTAGGCTTGCAGTGCAAGCGTGAAGACTATAAAATCAATTCAAGTGTCCAGCGCCATAAAGTCCAGCCGTGTGCACAACAAAGTCCTTTCCCAGCAACATACAAATACAGAAAAATATGTAGCAAAAAAGCTGAATAAATTATAAATACTTGAGAAATGTGGTGCAAAATGTAACATAAGGAGATCTGAACTAAGGCACTTGTTTCCATTTGTTACTGAGGACACCCTCCCTCTCTGTATGGCAGCGTCACTCCTCAGTGAGAAGGGTCATCCAAGCCAGACCCAAATCTGAAAATACAGAACCGTGTATGAGACAAACACCAGCTTTCACTTCACAGTGCACGACTCAAAGGTGTTACCAAAGTTCTCCTGATAAACACAGCATCAGCAAGTATTTTAACTCCTCCTTCGTCCCGGTTTTAGACTCGTCGGTTGTGTGAAAAGAAGTCACCGGTCTATTTTAAGCAAAAACATTTCTGCACAAGTCCCTGTTGGCTGCTATTAGCCAGACGGGATCTCCATGTGAGCATGGGGAGCGGTACCAAAGTGTGTTGAGTGACAAAAACCAGGGCAGCCCAGTCCAGCCCCAGATCCAGCCCCAAAACAGAGTGCCTGCTGTTCAGAGCTGCCGCAGCCATGGCAAAGGTGGGACGGGCACGCAAGCCTGTCACGGGTTTGACAGGTGCTCACAACAGTGAATCGTATTGTTAGGAGTCCATTGAACTAAAAGAAAATAACAGAAAAAGGACAAAGCACACCATTGCTGTCGCAGTACTGTGTCTTTCAAATGGATCTGAGAACGGGAAAATTGGGATTCTAAGTTAAATCTGTAGTGAACACGCCACCAAGTTTTCACACGAGTGCTCTTGACTAATCGGGTAAGTGGAGTCAAGCCCAAATCAAGACCTCAAAAATTCACTTCAAGAGGGGAAAAGCAGAGCCCACGCTACTCAGTCTCCTCGCTCTCTCTCTCTCTCAAAAAAAAAATAAAATACAAAAAACCAAAAAGGAGAACAATTCCACAAGCCACAGCAATGCGAGCCTACGCACATCCATATTTCGCTGGCAGAAACTGAAGCTCCTGCTTAAAAACCACCAGACTTGGGGCAGTCTCCGGGCCGGGCCCTCGGCGCGCTGGCCGCGTCCCTCCCGAGCCGGGCCTCTCTCCGGGCGCGGGGTGCGGCCTCGCCTGCCCGGCCGGGTGCCCTGGGCTCCGCTCGCCCGGCCGGCGTCAGTAGCGGGGTGCGGCGGGGCCCGGCGGGGCGGCGGCGGGGCCGCCCCCGGGGCAGCCGCAGCAGCGCAGCGTGTAGTTGCGGCCTCCGTTGTTGTCCCAGAACTCTCCCTGCGGGCTGCGGTAGCGGATGGCGAAGTGCAGGGCCGAGCCCTCCCGCAGGCTCGGCGGGACGCACAGGGTGAAGCCGTAGCGCTCGGCCGGCGGCTCGGGGGGCAGCGGCGCGGCCGGCACGTCCACGAAGGAGAGCCACTCGTTGAAGGTGTAGCGCACCGTCACCTCCCTGGGCCCGGGGCCGCCCAGCACTCGCACCGTGCCCCGCACGTCGGTGGGCGCCGCGGGCCGCCCCAGGCGCTCCAGGCAGACGTGCTGCCGCCGCAGCCGCTCGGCGCTGGGCTCGCCGCCGTCGGGGAAGTCGGGCACCAGGAGCAGCGCGGGCGGCGGCGGGTCGGCGCCGGGCGGCGGCGGGTCCCGCTCCTCGCCGGGCGGGCTCTGCAGGTGCGACAGCGCGGCGGGCGGCACCTGCGGCTCCTCGGCGTCGCTGAAGTGCTTGACGCTGGCGAGGCTCAGCCCCAGCGAGTCGGCGAACTGCACCCGCTTCTTGCACTTGCCGCAGCAATCTTCGCCCGCCGCCGCCTCCCCCTCGTCTTCCTCCTCCTCCCCCTCCTCCTGCCGCTGGCCGGGGCCGGGGGACGGCGGCCGCCCGCAGCGGCGCAGCTCCAGCAGCACCAGCCGCTCCCCCGCCGCCTCCCGCTTGCCGTCGCGGGGCACCGTCGGGGCCGCGCCGCGGAGCCGCCGCTCCTCGGCCGCCAGCTCCTGCCGCGGGCGTGCGGGGCTCGCCATGGCGGGGCGCCCCGCTGGGCCCGTCCCGGCCGCCCAGTGCCGGCAGGCGGACGGGCCGGCACCGCTTTATCCGGCGCCCCCGCCGCAGGCCCCGGGCTGGGGGCGCGCCCCCCCGCCGGCCCCGGAGCCTCCCCGCGGGGCTGGGGCTGGGGCGGCCGCGGGCGGGGGCGGGACCTCCCTGGACGGGCAACGCGGAAAGAGCCGCGACGGGCGGCCCCGCACGTCCTCCCGCCCGCCGGGGGCCGCCGTTACCAGGGCGCGGAGCAGCGAGCAGCGAGCAACGCTCCCGGCTTTACGGGCTTGGAGGAGACACGGGCAGCGGGGTCCCCCCGCCGCCCCGCCCCGCACACCCAGGCTGAGGGGCTGCTTCGTTATTCCTTTAATTGATTATTTATTATTATTATTATTATCATCACCGTCGTCGTTATTTAGGCTTCCACTCGTCGGAGGGTCAGCGAAGAAAGAGCTCGGAGGGTCAGGATTAAGCAGGAGCCCCCCAGGTTGGCATCACCCGGGAGTTTTATCCGTTCAGGGAACGGGAGGCGGTGGGAGTGGAGCGGCCCCTCGGGACCGGGGCTGAGCCGCCGCCCTCTCCGCCGGCCTGGGCGTAAGAAGGGCTGGGTGCTGCCCGTGAGCCGCGCCCGTCTGCTGCTGGGAGTACGTGAGACCCCCGCTTTTGTGTGTAAATCACTTTCCACCCTAACTGCAGAGAAAATCTTTGAGACCAGAGCTCGAGGACAAAACCCCAAAGGTAAAACAAACTCCAAAGGCATTAACTTTTTAAAGTACGCTGTGTTTTGTAAGCAAATCTCTCTTTTTTACCCACACCTGCTACTAACTGTACTGTTACTTGTGTAAAATCAAGTCCAAAGGCTCAGGAGGCACACACTTGTGCACAAACACCCTTTTAGAAGGCCAGGCTATCTCCAAACTTTCCAATTAAAAACAGAAAATTCAGAAAGGAAAACAAAATGCAGGCATTACCCCTAAATAAATAAAGAGAAGTAGTATCCCTCTGTTTTATTTTGTAGGCGTGACACATAATAAACAGCATCCTTATAACAACATGTTTTTATAAGTAGGATGAGGTCTGTATCTGAGAAGTTTCCAAACTTGGTTTTATACTTTGTGCGTGCCACAGCTATTGTCTGGGGTGATTTGCATGGGTGATTCCAAAAATACTACATTATTAAACTTCCCTCTGTTCTTTTTCTCATGGAAGAGACACCAAAAAGCATATGCAGACAACCCAGCACTTTCTGAAGCAACATACTCCTGCTATGGATTTAGCAAGGAGGTTTTTTGTTTGTTTTGCATAGGTTGTTTTATTTTTAGCATCAGTCTGGTTGCCAAAAGGCAGCCTCCCAGTGTGAGCGAATACACTGCAGTTCAACTGAGTGTGCAGTCTGGGTCTCACAGAGGAATGAATGTCAAAGCAGCAGAAACATCTCCAAACAGTTTTCCTAGCAGACACTGCTGTGAGGATGTTCTTGCTACACCTTGATGGAAGATCTGCACAGCGAGCAGTTCCTCAGGAGTGCCAGATAATCTGACTTCCTGACATTAGTTTGGCATTTGGTTTAGGGCATTGTAAGAAGAGGAACGAAGGGCAAACATCCTGGCTGGCACCCGCTGTGCTGATGGCAAACACGATGAGCACCAGTTTGCTATCAGCTGCTGATCCCCAGCTCTGCTGGGAGCTGCCATGTTCGGCAGGCTGTTGGCCAAACCCTTCATGGGAGCATTCCTTTGCCTTGTCTGCTCCAAGGGAGCTGGGATGCCACCATTTCAGCTCCTTGAACCAACCAGCCTCCGCTTAATGGTGCTAAACCACAGACCTCAGGTTTAGCTGAGTTCCTCAGCTGAGCTCTGTGGTGCAGCACAGGTAGGAGGAACGCAATTGTCCTCTTCCTGGATGTGGCAGCAAAAGTGCTGGTGTCACCTGTTTGAATCATCACTCCCAACCTGCTGGTACCTCTAGCAGAGCAGTGAACAGAAATTTTGGGTCTCTCCCAAACACTCTCCTGTTAAGTAATATTCACTGTGGTGAAAACAGTTTGCAAGCGCTTTCTTACTTGTGCCTGGAAGTGACACTTCCTCACTCATCTGTCTAAGGCTTGTGGCACCCCAAATTTGCAACCTGGAAAGAAGAAAAATGAATAGATAATGTGTAGAATAAGGGTGCTTAGTACTTAAAATATGTTCAAGAACCCTTACCTAAAATACAACACTGCTACTTTAATTTCTTGAAGTGCTCTCTATTATATGGTGAGGAAAGCAGAAATTAAGAAACCAGCCCTTACTTCCTCATGTAGAAGCCATCCCAGCTTGCCAAATCATTAGCAAATGTTTTAAGCAGCAAAGGGAAAAAATTGTGCCATTTGCTCATAAGGCAAAACCATTTGGACTACCAGAAATTTCAGAGTAATGTGAAAGTTTTAAGCAAAATAAGGGACAGCAAAAAGATAAAACAACTGTAAATATTGATAAGAGTTAAGTAATATGGTAGCAATTAATACACATTTCTTATATGTTCCATAACTGGGAGACAGGCCTGCAAGAACTACAATTCATAGAAAATAAGCAAAAGCAGTTGAGCCAACATGAATCCATATTGGAGGAAGATAATTAAAATCAGGCAATTAACGGCACACAAACTCATATTTTAGTGGGAATCACTTGCTACCGTTTTGAAAGGAGTAATTTATAATCAGATAAACCTTTAGAACAAATGTTCAACTACACAGCAAACCCTGCCAGAGGACATTAGTTAAGGAGGCATTTAGTGTTCTCTTATGTGTTTTAAAATGGCTCCTTCTAAAAGAATGGTGCAACCCAGGTCTCAGCTTCTAAGTACTATTTACCACATTTGCTATTAAAGAAAATGTTGTGATAAAAGCTGAGGGATTTCTTAGTAAAAAAGAGATTGCGTTATTAGCAGCCATGAGGCTTTTTGCATTCCCTGAGCTTGGACCGGGTATTATTAGTGTTATCAACTACACACAGGATCAACACGGCACTTTCTTTCGTTTCCCTGCTTCTTGTTTCACAACAGCCCACCTTGACCCCATCCTGCAGTCAGCACACACATTTTGCAGAAGCATTTGCATCCTAAGATGATTACTGAAAATGACATTAAAAAAAAGAAAATGTGAAAATCACTGGTAAGCAATCCATGGTATTGCTTTTCAGTTCTCACTATGATTGCATGGGAGTCATTAGATCAGGGATTTTCAGTTGGAGCTGTATTTGATATGGAGCTTGATAAATTGGTCAAGCTGCTTGGACTGATAGTTGTTGTCATTTGAACAGAAAATGAATATGAAAATATTTGTTTGCAGACACCCACAGTCAAGTAACTGGAGGAATCTGTGGATTCAACTCAGCCACACAATGTAAAACAGAAAACCATTCAAATGCTGTTCATAATTTCTTTTAATGCACTTTTAATATTACCTTCAACTTTCAGACCCAAAGCTAGCAGATTTTCCAGTTAGTCCAAGGTAAAGTATTCAATTTTTGGATGTACCTAGTTCAAATATGCCAGATCTCTTCAATTTCCTACTTATGTGTTAGATCTCCCATGACAATAGCTTGTCAGAAAATGTGAATGAGTCATAACTCCTAAGCCCTATGAAACAATTTACAGGGATTTAGAAATAGGCATGGATTATCACAGTTCACACACAAAATTAATACCACCTTTTTCAAATGCTAGCAGCATTTGTTCAAACAATATTCTTGCTTTGCTTTAAAAATTATGTAGCCCTTTATCCTGGTTTTAGCAGTCATGTTTTTTGTACAAAAATTCCAGGAAGGATATTATTAGCTTCCTCAATTATTAAAAAAAAAAAAAAGACACTCCCTATCCCATATGAAATTCCAGCTTCTCTGTGTTTTTAATAAGGATGGGATTTTACTATATCTATGAAGATGGTCAAACACTGAATGAAAAACTCAGTGGGCCTATACAATATGAAGAGAAATTATTCAGAAGTTAGATTATTAGACATCATTTTCTTCTTTATGCAGGAAAACCAAGCAGCTGTACTTAAAAAAGGCTTTCATTAGGTCCACAATGGGAAAAGTACTGAAATGGAAGCAAATAGAAGGAATTTGGATTAATTTCCAAATCTTAAATACAAATATTTAAATGCAATTTCTGCATGATGCCCAGAAAGTAAAACCCTTTAGAATTTTGAGTCTCTCAGACAGCACTTTTAGAGATCTCTGCTGTATAGTTTTTTTGTGTCTCAGCAGACTTTTATCTGATGTTCCTAATGAGATTAAATGCATGAAAATACACTTACTCAGTTTTTCTGAACTACAGCAATGGCTGTGTTTCCTATAGTGATGTTGAATATCCTTTTCAATTACTAATACCAAGTCTCTGGCAGTAAGGCAGGGAATGTCTCTTCATTTGGGTGAGATGCTGACCTCTTTGAAGGTGGAGTTTTGTCACTGATTTCAGTAGGTCCACAATTTCCCTACATCTAATATAAAATCACGACCATTCTTCATTACAGGTAAACATATAGTAATGGCACAAGGATTCTAAATTCAGAGTGAAATTAGCATTAACTGTGACACAACCGTGTGGCACAAAAGCTTCCCATTCACTAAGATTTCAGAAGTATTGCTTTGGTCTTGTGGTTCATAAGGGTGTCAATATTGGTTTAATACCCTTTGTATTTCTAAGGTATTTATCTAAACTTTCTATGTTCATATGGTACACTGAAAATCTTAGGCCATTTGTCAATTTTTTAATCAGCAAATTATGTGGTGATAAAAACCCCCTCCCATGTACAAGTTGTCATCCTGCCTTCCTTACAGACTGTTGTTGCATTTCAACAATTTAACTCAAATAAACAGTCTCTGAAAAGGAAAAGTTTCGATTACCAGTGAGAAAAAATGGTTTCAGCTTCCAAAGGGTATTCACAGCATAGGAGTTGAAAAGGGTTTTGTTTTATGGGTTTTGTTTGTTTTAATGTGGATCTCCA